GGCGAATTCATCTTCACATTCTTCTTGTTTGTCATCTTTCCACGGCTTCCAATGAGTCTAATGAGCTCTTATTTTGATTCATTTCTCGATTGTTAGTCAGAGACCCGTCCGGGCTAATAATTACCATAGTCATCGACATCTTTTTTGCGCTCACTTTTGCCGTATACAGCGGTATAGAAGTCTCTGAGAACGCGTAACCTCGAATCTATGTTTTCACAGGATTAGAAAAGTAGAAGGTTGATTTTTTTATTTCTTTAATAAGAAAAGAGTAAATGGATACTTAACCAATTTGGAGTGAAATACCACAACCATAATACCATGTTTTAACCCCTATCAAATATTATATAAGAAGAAATCACACATATCAAATATTATGATATTGTTAAAAAATAAAAATGATCTACAAATTCTATGATTACACAATATATTATTTTGGTAAATTTCATACAAGATGTTAATTAATTAATTAATAAATATAAAGGTTAAGTATTGTTATTGTTCATTAACTTCCATAGAGGGTTGCTAAAGTACACTACTCTTATTTAGTTTAGTAACCTATCAACTAATGAACCAAACAAATTAGTATTATTCAAAAAGTCATTAATTTGTTGAGCTACCCTTTAACATAGATTTTTATCTTAGAGTGAGAGCTTCCCCCGCTGGATCTTGAACCAAGGGAATTTTTTTTATCTTTGTCCAATTATATTGTATGTTCTCCTCACATACTACTCAAATATGGGAACAACAATGAACTCAACCATATAAAATATATGTACCACTTTTTAAATACTTTTGTGTTTTTTCCAAATAATTATTATGTCAATCCGTTAGCTATCACACAAAGCAAAATATCATGAAAATGTCAGACACACAAGTTAGCAAACATGCCTATAAGCGATGATCCAAATCTCAACTACAACCTAGTGCTTTATGCTTTTTCTTAATGTGCTTCTCGGTGGAGCATGGCATTGGATCTATGCATAACAAATGGTTTTTCTGCATTGGCATTACTTACCCAACATTTTTTATTACAAAAATTATATTTTGGCCATTTTTCATGTACTTCTCGATCTCGACACACCTCTTGATTTAAGAACAATTATTGGAATTGAAGAGTTATAAGCTTTGTGGTGTAATTATGAGATCCTTTCTAGGTGCTCATCTTACTTACCCAACCTTTTTTATTACAAAAATTATATTTTGGCCATTTTTCATGTACTTCTCGACACACCTCCTGATTTAAGAACAATTATTGGAATTGAAGAGTTATAAGCTTTGTGGTGTCATTATGAGATCCTTCCTAGGTGCTCATCTTTATTTCGATGAAAGACAATTATAAGCCATTATTTCATGCATTATTTGATGTGCTTATTAACAGCTTTGTGTGGAAAACAAGATTAGAATATTAGAGTGAGTGAAAAGGGCAATAGGAAAATGATAGGGTGCGCCTACTGTGACATGCATGTCACGGTGACTTGCACTTTCCGGTCGACCTCAGTTAGGATTAGGTCGACCTCATTTAGGATTCGGTCGACCTCATATAGGATCAGGTCGACCTCATATAGGATTCGGTCGACCTCATATAGGATCAGGTCAACCTAATTTGTTGTTTCAGTGTAAAAACAGTTCATGGTGTCTACTTTGGAGATTCATATCATACAATTGGCTAGATGGAAATTGAAGACTAATGGCTTGTTTTGAAGCTAGAGTGTCTCTCTACATATTGAAGTGATTGAGAGCTCGATAGGAAGTCCAGAAGATCATTTTTGAACCTCATCAAAAGGCTATGCCAAAACTGGGAAACTGCCTGAAAATGGCTAAGTCTGGAAATGTGTTTGTGAAGCCTATTTTGGAGCTCAATTCGAGAAGCATGAATGTGAGTCGAGTCCAGGAGCTTCTACCACGTTAAATTAGGTATGTTTGTATACAAATTCAAATCACTGGATGAAAGATTGGATATCTGTATGGCTTCAAACAAAAGGGTCGAAGTTGCTACGAATGCTGTTTTTCTGGCAGACTTCGAGCACAAGCAAGCTGCTAGAAAAACAGCCTTCGTAGCAACTTCGAGCCTTTTGTTTGAAGCCTTAAAGATATTCAATCTTTCATCAAATGCCTTGCCTTTTTAGAAAGAAATACTTAATTTAACGTGGTAGAGGCCTTTGGACTTGACTCGCATCCATGCTTCTCAAATTGAGCTCCAAAGTAGGCTTCACAAACACATTCCCAGACTTAGCCATTTTCAGGCAGTTTTCCAGTTTTGGCATAGCCTTTTGATCAGGTTCAAAAATGGTCTTCTAGACTTTCTATTGAGCTCCCAAGTACTTTAATGTGTAGAGGGACACTTCAGCTTCAAAACAAGCCATTAATCTTCAATTTCCATATAACCAATTGTAAGATATGAATCTTAAAAGTAGGCACCATGAAACTGCTTTTACACTGAAACAATAGATTAGGTCGACCTGATCCTATATGAGGTCAACCGAAAAGTGCATGTCACCGTGACATGCATGTCACCGTAGCAAAATCCAAAATGATATAGAAGAGATATCTTATATTCAAATTATTGTGTTTTTCAGTTCCTACTCGTTGAGAGATAATGGTCCTCCGACTTTCCTAATCACGGTTAATTTCTAGTTACTATTTAAATATATAACAACTAATTTAATATTTCGTGTAATAGTAGTATCAGTTTAGAATCATGTGGTCAGTTGCCCTCACCCTTATCACCAATTTATTTGGATAATGTCTATTTTTTATCCAAATCTTTTTCAAATTCTTTTATATTATCTAAACCTATTAAAATGCTATTACTTAGTCAAATCCTTCGTAATGTATCAAAATATTAGTCATTTTTACGTTATCGTTAATAATTTTATAACTAATTCTTAGTGAAAATACTAAAATTTTGGAATGCTGAGCTTCATGTGTCTCTTCCAAGTCAGTATCATGTTGCTAAGTCAATATTACTAACAAAATTGCTAACTGAAAGTTAATATTTGACTAATTCTTAGTATGTCAATAAATTTGACTAATAAAAAAAATCTAAAAAAATTTCACTAATAAATAGTCATTCCCCAATGTTGCTACTTCTCTTCTAGTTTACGTCTCTAAAAAGTTAATAGAAAGTCAAACTCGGTAGTTCACTTTTTTTTTTTAAAGCTTCTTCAATTTTCTCAACTTTGGATTATTGTCAATACACTTTTAGAGTATTTGGATTATTTAGAACTCTAGTATGAAGGATTGATTTCGACTATGTGAGATTTCTTGTCAATACAATTGATTTGTAATACTTCAATGTTATCTTCCCATGCGTTTTTTTTATACCAAGAATCACATCTAAAATCATTACCCACGGGACATCAGTTACAGTATGTAGCAGATTACAAGAGTGGTGAAATAATCCTAAGAATTGTCATCCAATCTGGAGGGAGTAAGTTCCTAGCTAACGATTTGGCCATCCAATCCGCTCTCTTGTTTAGCTTGCATACAAAGAAAGCCACCTTGATGAAGCCGTTGCACATAAGGATGTCTTGGTTAATCCCTAGCCACACAGAAACTCTCCTTGGCCATGTAGGAGGGTCAGATGCAAGGGCAAAAATCAGGGTGAGACAATCCAAGCAAACAAGAAATTCGATTTGTTTTTGGGTGAAACTAGGCACAATCACCTCTCACAATCGATCACCAATCATTTGGACTAGTTAGACTTTTCAAGAGAGAAATATATAGAACTCATAGTAGCCTATCATATATAATAAACGTTTAGCATAATATAGTATTTTTTGGTCATCATATCTAGGAGGAAATATAATATGATTAATCACCTTTGACTTCTGTTTTGTTCCTCTTTAGCCATTGCTTACTTAGTTAAAATAGTTTGGCAATCTATTTGTACCCATGTCCCTGAAGTTGACTGACATCATGTTGTGTGGCGGAAGCCTTTTATTTAAGAGCATAATTTGTTACTTTGGTTAGTCATATTGAACTGTATAATTCGAATTACTATTAAATAAGGAGTTCATGTACCGTAATGACCAAAAATATGAATTCATGTACTGGTGTGACCAAAAGTAACGTACATGTATAGAGTGGACCAAGTCATGAAAGTTCAAGGGTCAAATTGACCTTCTTGAATTGTTATAATAATTTCATTATGACTAAATTTTACTAGACCCACTTTCTACATATTATTTTCTCGAAATTTTCGCATAACTCATCACCAAAACCTTATTGTCAATATTATTTTCAAATTTTTTTCTCCTTCAATTTTCTCATAATTCGTCATGCCACACTATTCCTCGTCTTATTTCTCAACTTTTTTCGTCTCACCATTGATACTAAACAGGATCTAATGAAGAAACTGAACACATAAAATTATCAACTTCAGTGATTTCTCAAAATTGCCAACTAAAAGCATGTTTTTGTTTTTCATGATATTGTGTTTGTACCTTTATTGTCACAACAATACCGGAACACATTACACATACGACAATAAAAGTGTAGGCAACATAAAAGGTTTTATCAAGTTGGGCTCCGCAAACTATAATCATTAGATCAACTAGTGCCCTCTAAAGGATTTTAGATCAACTATAATCAAAGAGCCACATAGTCAAACTAGTTCGAGAGCTTTAAACAAATATCACGAGTTGAGCTCAACACGTCACTGAGCGAGCAGAACTAGGTCAAAGTTTGCCTAGTTAATCCCAAATTAACTCGTTCAATTACGATTTAAATGACAACTTCATTTTTATCCTTTTGCCTGTGAAGTAACACTTGCTACTTTTTTTTTTTTTTTTTTATCATTTTGCCTGTTTCGTGTTATTTCTAGACTCTACTCCAGAATCGACACCCGGAAAGTGTCAGAAAGCTCTCTCTCCAAACTGTACATAAATTAATCATTAAAACAAAATTGACGCTGACTGGGATTTCTGGAACCAACTTAATTTTTGTTACTTACTAGAAAGCTCCTCCATCCAATCGACTAACTATGTGCGTCCTATTATTTAACAGCGAAGCTTCGGCGTTGGCTTTCTTCAGTACTAGACCTAGTGACAGGCTGGCAGCGCTCCCGAAAATTGCGCCGGCAAAGGATACAGAGAATCCCGGCTCCGGCGACGAGGATGGCGGAGGAGAAGCTTTACCCGGAAGCGAGTTGGGAGTACGAGAATGCGGTGGCGAAATGCAAACGGAAGCTCAGAGGCCTCGTCGCCGAGAAGCACTGTGCTCCAATCGTCCTCCGATTAGCGTACTGATTAATACATATTTCTCATTCGGTAATCAAGCAATGATTTGCTTACATTTATTTTTTATAATTAAATTAAATAAATGTGTACGGGGCAGATGGCACTCTGCTGGAACGTTCGACGTTGAGACGAAGACGGGCGGGCCGTTTGGGACAATCAGGCATGGGGATGAGCTAGCCCACGAAGCCAATAGTGGGCTGGACATAGCAGTTGGGCTTTTAGAGCCCATCAAGGCCCAGTTCCCCATCTTGACCTACGCTGACTTCTACCAGGTTCGTTCGGGGTCCTTGACCACTTGATTTTGTGGTGTTAATAATAAGCGGTATTAAAATTAAATTAAACTCTCATTTTTTTTATTTTGTGGTGAAATTCAGTTGGCCGGAGTTGTGGCCGTGGAGATCACCGGAGGGCCAGAGATTCCTTTCCATCCTGGAAGACCAGTTTGTGACTTTCCCCTGATTTAGATAATTGAATTTGCGTTTTGAAGGAAAAATCTAATTTGAGATTTTACACGTTGTTATTATGATATGTTATGTTGCTTTTCAGGATAAATCTGAACCCCCACCAGAGGGACGCTTGCCTCAGGCTACTCAAGGTAAATTAATTGTCTTTCATTTGCAGTAAAATTGTGTTTTCTTACTCATATCGTATGTGCGGTAAAAAAATATAATTATCCTCTCACAGGCCCGGCCCATTTGAGGGATGTGTTTTACCGGATGGGCCTTTGCGACAAAGACATAGTCGCTCTGTCTGGTGGCCACACACTGGTATTATTATTATTATTATTATTATTATTATTATTATTATTATTATTATTATTATTATTATTATTATTATTATTATTATTATTATTATTATTATGTACAGGGGAGGTGCCATAAGGAAAGGTCTGGGTTTGAAGGGCCTTGGACCAGCAATCCTTTGATCTTTGATAATTCATATTTCAGGCAAGATCTTCTCTCAACTGAAGCTCATAATGCCATGCACAATCAAAAGCAATTGGCTTATGCATTTTCATCAATTCATTCGAACTAATTGTAGGGAACTTTTGAGTGGGGAGAAACAAGGCTTGATTCAGCTTCCAACCGACAAAGCTCTTTTGGAGGATCCAACATTCCGTTCTTTTGTTCATAAATATGCGGCCGTGAGTCGCCCACTACTACTCAATATTTATTTTCATGACGATGTCGCTTCGTTACACATGGTTTCATACTTAGTACTTAGTAGTAAACCGTTAATTTCTTTTGAATTTTTTTTTATTCATTTCAGGACGAAGATGTTTTCTTTGAAGATTATGCGAATGCTCATTTGAAACTCTCGGAGCTCGGGTGCGCCTCAGATACCTTGCTCGAAATTTCGTTGTATTTTTCATTTACTAGTTCTTTTGCGCTTTCCATCATACATTTCTTTGTTTTCAGGTGGCCTTGATAGTGTCAAAGAGCGAGAGATGAAACACAAGCCTATGCTCAGTGAAACGAATTACTATCTATGATTTGCAGTTGTAAACTTTGTACTATCCTACCACTTCTATGTTGGATTGAATAATGGCACGCAAAATCACAGACTACTTTGGCTCGTGGAACGGTACTTTATCTTTCAACAACTTTTCCCTAAATCCAAACGGCAACTTAGAGCTGTTGACACACGCACATAAAATACACCAAACTTCCTGGGAATATAAAATTTCGACTGGACTATGGAATAATTGAGCTTAAAAACTCATAAACTACTTCAACCTGCAATATTATAGGGTAGGATTCATGCTATTTGCTACAAACCAACACAGTGCTACACCATCACGCCTGTATTTTAGAAGATCCAACAAAAACCACAAACAACCAGACTTAAAACGACATTTTTGCTGGAGTAGTAACAAACAGCCATCAAAACCTCCACAACAAAAAATGTGCCTTCAATCCAAAGTTTCTTCAAAGGTCTTGCACGCTCAAACCTGCAACAAACATACAAAAACAAAGACCATGATTCAGACCAAGTTTAAAATATATATCCATCGGGCATTCAATTCTCAGATAGGAGGGAACAATATAGCTCTACTTAGCGTATGGGTTTTCAGGGAAACACACGCATCAGTGAACATAGGAATACAACAATGAGATATACCGAATCCACAACACAGGGGTGAAAAGCATCATTACCTGGGGGAAGAGACTGCTTCAACTTGTCAGCCTTCTCGTTGTCGAAAACGCACAGGGTGTAGAGGTACTTGGAGCACCGGACCTTGAACTTCACCACATCTTTGCTCCTCTTGATCTTCACAGAACGGGCATCCTTCCTCCTAGCTGTGAGGAGAAAGTCCTTGATCTCATGAATCTGCTTCGGCTGTTCAACACAAGCAAATCAGTAAATACCAAACCAAGAAAATAAATGGCGAAATATTACCAAGAATTGTCCACTATTACTGCACCAAACAAGCACCACTTACAAATAACAAACAAAGGAACAAGCTCAAAACACATCTAACAGTAGATCAAGTTCAACAGCTGAACTTAGAAAAACTATATAGCACCCAGATGTAACAGAAGCTATCAAATCCAGGAAGGCTATTCCATGGGGATAGATCTGTAACGATGGGCGCCAACTTCCATCTTCCAGACTCGTAACAGTATCAACCAAAATGCATCAAGGTCAACACCTGACTGGAGTCTGGGGAGTTCATGTGAACCCTTGACACTAGAAATGAAGGCCAATCTTCTTAACTTATAGTTTGTAAGACCCAAAAGAAGCTACGATAGAAGCTCCCTAGTTTCAAATATGAAGAGTGGCTACGAATGGCTACCTAACCTAAACCGCAAAATGCTTACTTGAGAGTGGCTCCTAAGCCTTAAAACCCACGTTTGGTTTCTGAAAATAACACACCCAATAGGCAAAAGGACCCCAACTAACGGGGCTAAATCAAACCTCTGCAACTGGGATTAGAAAGTATTGAAAAATGTATATACTATTTAGCACCCAGATGTAACAGAGGCTATCAGTTCCAGGCAGGTCATGCCATGGGATAATTCTGTAACGATGGGCGCCAACCTTCATTTGCCAGTCTCGTAACAGTACCGATCGGAATCATCAAGATCGACACCTGACTAGAGTCTGGGGCTTCATTCTGACCTTAACCCTAATCCTTTTTAACACTCATAATGATGTCCCAATGAGCTATTGGAGTAGTTCTCTGATATCGTCTGTAAATCTAGCTGCTACAGATACCAACCGAAACACAGAATAGGAAAAATCGAAGCCAAGGGAATATAAATAACCATTCTCACGAAACAGAGGAATTCATCAGTAATGGCTGCTAATTTGAGGAGTTGATAAGCCTTTACCATTTTGTTCGCCGAGCTGAGCTTCCTCTGGCTGCTGCTTCTGCTCCGTTCGAGGAAGAAAACTAATAGGAAGAGGGAGGCTACTGAGAATTAAGAATATATATACCACGCGACGATGGAGTAAACCCTAGAGGCCTAAATGATGGACCCAAATCTTTATTTTGGGCCTTATGCGTTCTGAGCCTACTTGCAGGAAATCGTCTTTGATATGGACCGTTAATGGAGCTTAAGCCTGGGTTCTATTTGTGGACTCAAGCTACTGCGATCCCATAAGATGGTATTGAAAAAGAGTACAAGGTAGGGGTGGGCATCGATTCGGTTCGGTTCAAACCGAACCGAACTAAGCATACCGGTACCCTAATATAACTCGAAGTTGAAATCGATCCCGAACCGAAATATATTTCGGTTCGGTCTGGCCGAACTGAAATATATTCCGGTTCGGAACTAAAAAACCGACGAACCCGACTTCTCTCCTTGCTTTCCCTACTTCATCTTCTCATTGAAGACCCACAGCCAAAAAAATCAAAACCCAATCTTCCTTCTCCCTCTCCCACCTCCTCTTCTTCCTTCTCCCACCCCCCAGCAGCATCAGAGTTCAACTTCGCCCAGAAGCAGTCGCTGGTCGCAGTCCCCAGCCCAGAGGAAGCATCACCGCCTCCTCGAGAAACTTTCTTCTGAATCGTCAGATCCGACGCCGGCGAAAGGATAAATCAGGCTTCGCTCCCTCCGCCGCCGTGGTCGCACTCAGCTCCCTCCGCCGCCGTGGTCGTGCTCAGCTCCCTCCGCCGCTGTGGTCGCGCTCAGCTTCCCCCGCCGCCGTGGTCGTCCTCTCCCACCGCGACCCTTCCACTTCCCGTCGCCTGCATGTGGCTGTCGACGGCGCGATTGGATTGAAGGGGATGCATATTGGGTGTGGGATGGGAGGTAATTTTGTTGGAGACGAGCTAAATCCCCTAGAATCCCACCCAATCTGCCAAGTCTTCTCTAGTCTCCTTTCTCTGCCGGCGGCTGCGATTGCTGCATGTGAGTGATAGGATTGAGAGTGATTAGTGGTGAGGTTTGGTCTGGGCTAGGGTTCCACTAACAAATGTAGAGAGGGAGGGCTTGGGCCTTGGGGTTGTGGGCTTTGGGATTGGGGTGTGAGTCTGTGAGATTGGGCTTTGGGTTGTGGGCTATGAGTGTGAGAGTTGGGATGATCGGTTGCTCGGTTCGGAATCGGAAACTCGGTTCGGTTGGACAGATCCTGGTTTCCGAAATATAGGGTTTTCAGTTCCGAATTCCGAACCGAATAACAAATGTTCGGTTTCGGTTCGGGTTGGCTCGGTTTCGGTCCGGTTTGGTCCGGGTTTACCGAACCGGATGCCCACCCCTAGTACAAGGTTTTGGTTTCATTATGTACTTGTAAAATACCATTGTCTGTTTAATTGATTTCATGATTGATTTGGTTAATAAGTGAAAATGATCTACATTATCCTCATTGGTATGAGATGAGAAAGATAAAAGGAGGGGTAGTTTGGTCATAAATTACGGACTTTAAAGTCTCTGATCAAGTCTCACCTTAAGAGGTGGAATTTTCAAGTCTGTGAGACCCACGGATTTGAACCCTTAAATTCCACGGACCACGAATTTGTTGCCATTAAATACATGAAGCAAACAATAGACATTGGACAAAGTCCATGATAGATCCAAATCCATCAAGCAAACAAGCATTAGGGGTCGTTTGCTTGATGGATTTGGGTCATGGATTTGGGACTCAAATCCCAAACACGATGGATTTTAGCCAAGTCCATTGTTTGTTGTCAGGTGTTAAATCTGTGGGGTCCACGGATTTGTTTTCTTTTTTTGATCCAAATCCGTGGACCCCACGGACTTGTAAATCCCACATATTGGGGTGGGATTTGTAAATCCTTGATGGCTAGTGATATTTATAGCAAATCCATCATAATTATATCATCAAATCTATCATGCAAATAATAGACTCTTCAAATCCATGATGGTACAAATCCCTCATAAATCCAAAGGTTTTTTTAAGCCAAAACCCTCATTTTTCAAATCCAATAAGCAAACGAACCTTAATCTCATAATAGTAGGGTTGATATTTAACTTTGCATGGGCCTATATGCCCATTTTGTTTTACTCGAGTTGCTGGGCCTGTAAGCTCATTCGGTTAGAATTAAGATAGCCGTTTGGTTGATAGATTCTTTGTATTGGATTCTTTGTATTTGACTACATGTCGTTCATTTGATTTTCTGACTTGGTTTTATACCAGGGTGTAATGTGCTCGATCTCAATTTTAATCAATACAAGATTATCTTTTGTCAAAATTACAAAAAAACCTCTGATTCTTTAAGCTACATTTCCTTTCGCTCTAACATTGCCTGCTTTTCTTTAAGTAAAATCACTTAGGTTTAAATTGTGGGTAAATAAATCAAAAGATGGAAAAATCTTGCGTACGATGCACCAATATATATTACCACTCGTATATTAATACTTATTAAATATATAAGTGGGCGGGTCAGGACAAGGAGAATGACATCCACTGGATATCTTGGAGTGCTGTATGTCAGAGTAAGTTTGCTGGTGGGTTAGGTTTTCGGGATTTTAATCGTTTTAATGTTGCTTTGCTAGCCAAACAGGCATGGCGCATCCTCTGCAACCCCAACAGCAATCTAGCCCGGATTTACCAGGCTAGGTATCATCCCCAGAGGAGCTTTCTTGATGCGACAACGGGCTCCCGGCCTTCATGGGCATGGCAGGGCATCTTGGAAGGGCGGGACCTCCTCCTCAAAGGCTTACGGTGGCAGGTTGGAGATGGCTCTCGGATTCGCACTTTGCAAGATAACTGGCTTCCTTCCTCTCCTCCTTCCTGCCCTTTATTACTTCCAGGTTTGAGCGCTTGCCCCCCTCTTGTCTCTGACCTCATCTGTCATGTTTCTCATTCATGGAAAAAGGATCTGTTAACATCTCTTTTCTCTCAAGAAAGTGTTGAGCTCATCTTGTCTATTCCTCTACCTCTAGTTTTCTCCTCAGATCGTTTGATTAGGCATTACTCTCCTTCTGGTATCTACACCGTTAAAACCGGGTATCATCTTCTGTCATCTGAGTACAACCTTCTTCACCCCCCGACGGCGCTACCTTTTGATTCAAAATTTTGGAAGCTGCTTTGGAGTATTCATGTGCCACCCAAATTGAAGTTCTTCTTTTGGCGGGCTGTTCGTGGTTTCTTGGCTCTACAGATAGTGTTATTCACTAAAACGCTTGTTACTGATACTATTTGTCCTATTTGTTCTGGGGAACCAGAATCCTTTTCCCACTTTTTCTTTTCTTGCAAGGTAGCTCGAGGCCTTTGGAGTCTGGCTAACCTTGAAGGTCTGAGTACCACTCTTGGTGGAATGCCTCCTGATGAGGCCTGGACACATCTTTTCTTCTCCATGAACTTGTCCAAACTTGAACTTGCTAACATTGTTTCCATTCTTTGGAGAATTTGGAAGGGACGTTGTTGGGAGGTTCACGATCACATTCAGTATCTCCCTCATGCTTTATTTCGACAGTATCGACGCCAAGTGGACGAGTGGAGGGAGGCTACTCAGGCACCTCCACCTCAGTCTCATCGTAGGGCTTCTCCTCTCCCTGCCGCATCAGCTCGTGTTGGGCCATCCCTGACCTCTGGAATTTCTCCCATTATAAATGTTTGGTTTGATGGGGCAGCCAAGCGTGGCCAAGGAGGTAGTATCGGTTTCGTAGGTTTTCATGAGACAGGTACTGTGCTCTTTGCATTTGGCAAATATTATGATGGAATTCAGGATCCATTTATTATGGAATGTTTAACCTTGTGTGATGCCTTGCAGTGGTGTCTAACCCATTCTTTTCTTGCTGTTTCTTTGCATGGGGACTCTCAACTTTTAATCCGGCGGATGGTTGGCGGTGATTTGCATCATGATCGGAGAGGTGCTATTTTGGCGGATGTTAAGAGCTTGGCGTCATCGTTTAGTAGTATCTCTTACTGTTTTGTGTCCCGTCTACACAATAGGGCTGCCCATCATGTGGCACAAAAGGCCCTCTCATCGAGAGTTCGACTATTGGTCGACTCTCGCTCTTTTCTTTCTTCCTCCTTATGACTTTCTTTCAACACTGACTTTGCGAAAATAATAAAATAAAAATATATATCTAAGTGGTTTACTGTTCCGTAAGAGGTTTTCTATCATACACCACTGTTGCTTTTTTTCTTTCTTTACTTCTGTCACCCGCACCACCTTTACAACGACGTTTGTTCCCTTCCGATGTGTGACTGATTTTCTTGAACGACATTCCTGACATAAATCAGTTGCTCTCAATAACTCGA